CAGACCCGACTCATAGCGACCCCTCCTTGGGTTTCCGAGGCAGTATCACTACGGAAGTAGATTGCCCCATCTTCCTTCCAAGGAGTGGTTAGTGGGTTTGAACCACCAGCCTTCTGGTTAGCAGTCAGGTGTCTTAGGCACTAAGCTACCAGAGCTCCTATGGATAGAACTGTGCCCCAAAACACATGTCAGCTTGGCCAGGCCATGATTCTCAGTGGTCTGGCAGCTATGTAATGATGTGATCACCCCCATGATGCAACCTGATGTGATCATCCTGACCCAACGGCAGGGGACCAGGGTGGGAGGCAACCTCCTTACTCAGGTCCCAGCCCTGATTCGATGTAAGTGGAGTTTCTCTGGGGTGTGGCCTGCATCACCTTTAATCTTACAAGAGACAAAAGAAGAGAGAAGTGAGCAGAGAGAGGGGGACCTACTACCACCGGGAAAGAAGGGCCAGGAGCAGTGCATGTCCCTTGAGCCCAGGGTCCGTGTGCTGAGAACCCCTGAGACCCAGGGGAAGACTGAGGCTAAGACACATAGAGATGGCCATGTTGCAAGGGGGCAAGGACCTCCCCCAGAGCTGACAGAGAAAGCCTTCCCCCAGGGGGATTCAGACCCCTAGCCTCCTACACTGTGACAGAGTAAATTTATCAAAGCCATCCATCTGTGCTATTTCTGTTATAGCAGCACTAGGCAGAGAAGATACCAGCCCAGTCAAAGCTGCAGGGCTGTCATTCAAGGAGGGCTGAGGTTTCTATTGTAGTGGGCTCCAGTTTGTGGTAGCCAGGGTGACTGTCCTCCTCACTATATATATATATATATATATAGTGTATACATGTGCGCGTCTATACATATGTGTATGTGTATATATGTATGTGTATATATAGGAGCTCTGGTAGCATAGTACCCAAGGCACTTGACTGCTAACCAGAACGCTGGTGGCTCAAACCCACCAGCCACTCCTCGGAAGGAAGGTTGGGCAATCTACTTCCGTAGTGATACTGCCTGGGAAACCCAAGGAGGGGTCACTATGAGTCGGGGCCGACTCAACAGCACATACAACGTGTGTGTGTGTGTGTGTGTGTGTGTATGCTTATTTGATTAACATCTCACTAATTCACCTGATATATAATTCAACAGATGATGAAAATCCCTTATATTATCATAAAAACTCTTTATCAATTATCTTAGCTGGGTCAAAAAGGTATTCTAAAAGATACCTTCTTTATGTCATTTATTGCCATCTGAGATGAGACACAAGGCGTTCTGGTGACACAGTGGTTAAGGCACTGAGCTGCTAACTGAAACGTCACTGATACGCAACCACCAGCCGCTCTGCAGGAGAGAGATGAGGCAGTCTGCTTCCGTCACTCCGTATGGCCATGGAAACCCCAACAGGGGTCGCTATGAGTCAGAATCGACTCACTGGCAGGGGGTGTGGTTTGCTTTGGGTTGGGATATGACTCTGGCAGTTCAAGGGTGGACTGCTCCCTGCCCCCACAGGTGACCTGGGTTCAAGTCCTGGCCGAGGCCCCTGGCACCCAGCCCCCTCCCATCAGTGGAGGCCTGTGTGCGGCCACGATGCTGAACTGGCTTCAGCAGAGCTTCCAGACTGAGACCAGGGAGAAAGGCCACGAATCGACTTCCAAAAGTGAGCCAAAGACCCCGACGGACCACAAATGATGGGGGCCCGCGGCCTGAGGGCTGCCCGGACGGCAAATGAAATAACGTCAGAGGCCTGGATTCTCGGCGTCACGAGCACCGGGTCAGCCAAGGGCGAAAGGCTGAGTTCAGGAGGGAATTTCCCAAACTCGTCTCTGGGTTTTTTTAATTTATTTTTATTGTGATTCAGGTGAAAGCTGACAGAGCAGATTCGTTCTCCACACAACAGTTCACAGACATTTTGTCTCATCACGACACTGACAGCAATTCCCACAATGCACAGCTCTCTTCCCATTTCCTTCCTGTGGTGACCTCTTCCCTGTGTCCTCCTTTCCTATTCATCCCTGCGCCCTGAGCTATCTCCCTGTGCAAACACCGCCCTTCTGATCTCCCACGGCTGAGTGTCCTAAGGAGTGCACCTCTCTGGTGTAAATGTTCACTTTATATGCCTGCTGTTGTTTGGCTGGAAGTTAAACCCAGGAGTGAGCTCAGTTCTGGGCCCAGGGGATGACTGGAGCTGTATTTCAGGGCTGTCACCATCTCCATCAGACCAGAAGTGAACTCTTGGAACAACTCGGAAACTGGTCTCTGTTGAGAAAGTGGGGACAGAGGCGTCCCCTCCTGCCAGGGAAGGTCAGGCTGGACTGGAGCGTGGAGCACTGGGCAGCCTCAGCTTCGGTTCCTACCGGACAGACCCCCCGGTGAGTGTCCAGGTCCCTGGAGGAATAGTGAGGCCAGCAGTGGCCGCTGGCTTCAGGTTTGCCAGGGAAAGCCTGCTGGCTGCGTGCTGGAGTTTGGAGAGACCTCACATAGCAGCCGTTCCTGCTGCTTGGGGCCAGTTTGCTGGGGGCCAGGTGCACCCCCCTGCATGCTCAGGGCCCTTCTTCCTCCACCCACAATGTGCCAGGCTGAGGGCACCATCTTGGGCCTCCACTCTGCTGCTCCCCTCCCATCTGGATACCTCCAGTGCCCATCAACATGGTCATCCATCAGGGAGACCCTGACGTGGCCCATCAATTTCCTGCACACACCCCAGCTCACCACTAGGGTACCCCCCACAGCCTACCACTGTGATAGTTAAGCTTGTGTGTCACCTTGGCTGGGCCTGGGTGAGCGGCTGGGCAGCTGGATGTAGCTGTTCCCCGTGGTGAGACTGGCAGCCAGCTCCAGGGTGGAATCTAGTGGAGCAGCTGAGTAGCTGCTTTAGAGACATGGTCACCTCCAGTGTTGAAGCAGCGGCTTGGAGGAAGGTCTCCTGCTTGCTGGCGCGCCTGAACCCTGCATGTAGTCGAGTCTTCATTCAGCAGCCTGCCATGTCTTGGCATTTTTAATGGACTTGAATCGACAGCCTGCCGTGTGGTTTGGTAACATCAGGATTGTGCCTTTTCACTTGTCAACCTTGGGCTTGTCAGCCTCAGCAGCCAGCAGCTGCCCAAGTGAAGGGATGCTTTAGCTCCAGTGGGCCGGGAGCAGGAGGCAGAGCTGAAGCCCGAGGCTGAGGGGCTTTCACACAGCCCCTGGAGCCTGGCACTTCGAACTTGGACTTCTAGGCTCCAAAATTGTAAGAGAACAAACTCCTGTTTGTTCAAGGACCCCATTGGTGGTATTTTCTGTTAGAGCAGCACAGAGTAGCCAAAAGCACCAGCATCCACCAGGTGTCGGGGCCCTCCTAATGGCCTCCACCAGCCCCTAGAACAAACGCAGGCAGGCCCAGGGCCTTTCACTCCCACTGCCTTCTGTCCCTCGAGCTTGTCCCACCCGTCCTTCTCCACGTCACTGGTAACCCTGCTGCGACCCACCCTCCACACACCCCCTGCCATTCTTACCAGTGCAGGTGGACCCCACACCCCCGAGGTGAGTTGATCCCTGTCTGCCAATGACACAAGAAGAAGGCCAGTCCCTGGAGAGCCCCCACACGTTAGGTGTTGGACGAGGACGCTCAGAGCCCTCACAGAAAGCTGGGAGGAACACGCTGCCGTCCCCACTGGCCAGGAGCGTGAACCAAGGCCCCGGGTTCCAGAAGGTTCAGTCCTCACAGCTGGAACAGGCCCTCTGTGCCCTGGAGCTGCAGGTTTTGGAATTCAGAATGCAGCGATGTCACCTGACTGTTTGTAAACATTGCAGATTGCCAGGCTCCACCCAGAGCCTGTGATGCAGGAAGTCGGAGGTGGGACCCAGGAGCGTGCATGAACAAGCATCCCCGATACACATGCACGCACATGCACGCACACACACGCACACACCAAGAACCTGCCTGGCCCTGCCTCTCTGCTCCCTCATCTCCCCACCCTGTGCCCTGCTCCTTCCACTGCTGCAGGGACCCCGGGCTGCACACAGCCTCTGCACTCCCCACTTCACAACAGCCCCTGTCCCTTGTCTGTCCCCTGCTGGATCACCCAGCTCCCCCTCCTCTGCCATCAGAACAGGGCTTCAATGGACCCTCCTCTATCTCAGTTCTCCAGTGCGGATGTAACGGAAATACAACAGTCGGCGGCTTTAACAAACAGGACTGTATTCTCTGACAGTTTAGGAGTCTAGAAGCCTGAATCCAGGGCGCCTGCTCAAACAGAGAGGCTGTCTCTCTGTGTCAGCTCTGGGGACAGTCCTGGTCTCCTTTTAACGTCCGTGGGCCTGGAGGTCCTCGGAGATCTCCAATTGTCTTGGTATCAACTTGAGCCTGGGTCTAGGAGGTTCTCAGCGTACTGACCCCACATCCAAAGGACACACACCGATCCCAGCTCTTCTTTCTCGGGGGTTGCAGGTCCCGCCCTCTCGGCTGCTCTCTCCTCTCACCTCCTGTAAGATAAACGGTGATGCGGACTACATCCCTGGACACTCCCCTATGTTCAGTCACAGCCTGTGACCTGAGTAAGGCTGTGTATTCCACCCTCATCCTGCCTCGTTGACATGACAAGCATAACCTAACCCTCCCTCCTTAACACGCAGAGGTCAGGATTTACAACACATCCCAAATGGAGGGTAATCACATCACACACCAGGATGGGAATGCCCACATCATCACATGACTGCCACCCCACTGGGAATCCCGGCCCAGGCAAGCTGACACACATTCGGGGAGACACAGTCCAACCCGTGACAGCTTTCCAACTCTCTCCTGTAGGCTCTGGCACCTGTGCAAGTCCTGATGGCAAATTTAGCTGGTGCACTGTGACACTGATTGAATGAGCTGCCCCCCAGCAATGGGCCTCCCACCACCAGAAGACAAGGCCCTTGCCGCCTACCCAGAGTGCAGCAAGGTGTTTCTGGAAGGCTGCATGTGGTCTGATCAGATGTGGGGGTGCCCACCTAGCCCACACACCCACAGCCAAATTATTTACCTGGATGTGGGGAGTAGACCCCTCACCACTCGAGAACAGACGTGAGAGACAGCCCACTGAAGCCACTTGAGGTCTTCATGAATATCTGGAAGCCACATGACCAGCCTGCAGGAAGAAGACCATGGTCACCACCACACAGCTGTGCATGCAACATACACACAAACACATACAAGAGGTAGATATACCCACACAGCACAGACATGTACATACACAACAGACAAGACACTCTGACACGACACATATAACACAGACACCACACACACATACAACAGACACAATACACCACATATAACACAGACAACACACACATACAACAGACACAATACACCACATATAACAGACAACACACATAAACAGACAAACCCACAGAACACATATGACAAACACAACACAAAGACACAAATATACACAACTGATAGACACACTCACATTACATGTATAACACACACAAAGATGTGGAATACACACAACAGACAGACATACCCATACACCACATATAACACACACAAAGACACAGCACACACAAAGACACACACAGATCTTCCCAGTGCACTACGTCGTCTGATGTCTTGACTGCTACTTCCATTGGTGTTGATTGTGGAACCAAGGAATATGAAAACTTTAACAACTTCAATCTTTTCTCCTTTTGTTGTGATGCTTTTGTTGTGAGGATTTTCATTTTCTTTATGTTGAGGTGTAATCCATACTGCAGACTGTAGTCTTTGATCTTCATCATATAGTCCAGATTCTCAGATTATTTGCTCAGCATACAGACTGAATAAGTATTGTGAAAGGATACAACCCTGACGCACTCCCTTCTTGATTTTAAACCATGTAGTAGTGTCCCCTTGTTCTGTTCCAACAACAGCCTCCTGGTCTATGTATAGGTTCCTCATGAGTACAATTAAGTGTTCTGGAATTCCCATTCTCAATGTTATCTACAATTTGTTATGATCCACAGAGTTCAATACTTTTTCATAGTCAATAAAACACAAGTAAACATCTTTCTGGTATTCTTTGCTTTCAGCCAAGATACAGCTGACATCAGCAATGATATCCCATATTCCACACCCTCTTCTGAATCCAGCTTGCATTTCTGAAAGTTCCCTGTCAAAACACAGCTGCCACTGTTTTCGAATTATCTCCAGGAAGATTTTACTTGCGTAGGATATTAATGATATTGTTCAATAATTTCCACATTCTGTGGGATCATCTTTCTTTGGAATGGGTACAAATATGGATCTTATCCAGTCAATTGGCCAGTGCCTATCTTCCAAATTTCTTGGCATAGACAAATGAGTGCCAGCAGGGCATCCATTTGTTGAAACATCTCAATGGGTATTCCGTCAATTCCTGAAGCTTTGTTCTTTGCCACTTCCTTTGGTGCAGCTGTGACTTCTTCCTTCAATATCATTGGTTCTTGATCATATGCCACCTCCTGAAATGGATGAACATCGACCAGTTCTTTTTGGTGCAGTGACTCTGCGTATTCCTTCCATCTTCTGATGCTTCCTGCACCATTCAATATTTTGCCCGTAGAATCTTTCAATATTGCAACTTGAGCTTGAATTTCTTCTTTAGTTCTTTCAGCTTGAGAAATGCCAAGTGTATTCTTCCCTTTTGGTTTTCTAACTCCAGGTCTTTACTCATTTCATTATAATAATAGACTTTGTCTTTTGAGCTGCTCTTTGAAATCTTCTGTTCAGCTTTTTTATCTTGTCATTTCTTCCACTGGCTTTAACTACTCTCCACTCAAAAGCACATTTCAGACTCTCTTGTGACATCTATTTTTTTTTTTCCCTTTCCTGTCTTTTCAGTGACCTTTTGCTTTCTTCATGAATGATGTTCTTGATGCCATCCCACATTTCCTCTGGTTTTGGTCACTGATGTTCAATTCATCAAGTCTGCTCTTTAGATGGCCTCTAAATTCAGGAGGGATATAATCAAGATCATATTTTGGCTCTCGTGGGCCTGCTTTAATTATCTTTAGTTTCAACTTGAACTTGCATATGAGCAATTGACGATCTGTCCCACATTCAGCTCCTGGCCTTGTCTTGGCTGAAGATATTGAGCTTCTCCATCATCTCTTTCTACAGATGTAGTCAATCTATTTCCTGTGTACTCCATGTGGCAAGATCCACATGTACAGCCACTGTTCATGTTGTTGAAAAAAGGTATTTACAATGAAAAAGTTATCGGTCTTACAAAATTCTGTCATGCGGGATACTGCATGGTTTAAAATCAAGGAGATAGAACATGGTTTAAAATCAGTAAAGGCTTGTGTCAGGGTTGTGTCCTTTCACCATACTTGCTCAATCTGTATGCTGAGTAAATAGTCTAAGAAGCTGGACTATTTGAAGAGCATGAAATCAGGACTGGAGGAAGACTCATTAACCATCCGTGATATGTACATAACACAACCTTGCTGAAATCAAAGATGACTCGAAGCACTTAGTGATGAAGATTAAAGACTACAGTGTTCAGTACAGGTTATACCTCAACATAAAGAAAACAAAAGTCCTCACAACTGGACCAATAAGCAGTACCACGATAAATGAGAAAATACTGAAGTTGTCAAAGACTTCATATCACTTGGTACCCCAATGGAAGCAGCAGTCAAGACATCAGACTGGGCAAATCTGCTGCAAAAAACCTCTTTCAAGTGCTGCAGAGCAAACATGCCTCTTTGAAGACTTTGGGCACCTAACCCAAGCCATGGTGCTTTCAATACCCTCATACAAGGAAGACCAAAGAAGAGTTGATGCTTTTGCGTGGTGGTGTTGGGGAGAAATACTGAGAGTACCATGGGCTGCCAGAAGAACTAACAGATCTGTCCTGGAAGTGCAGCTGGAATGCTCCTTGGAAGCAAGAATAGCCAGACTTAGTCTCACCTACTTTGGTCATGTTGTCAGATGGGACCTGTGATGGTTAAGTTTGTGTGTCAACTTGGCTGGGCCTGGTTGAGTGGCTGGGTAGCTGGTGGTAGTTATTCCTCATGATGCGACTGGCAATCAATGCCATGGTGGGACTTACCACAAGCAGCTGAGTAGCTGCCTTAGGGATATGGTCTGCTTCCCATATATAAGCAGCAGCTTTGGGAATGGTCTCTAGCTTATGGCATGCTTGGACCCTGCATGTAGCCGTGTCGTTGTTCAGCAGCCTGCCATGCTCTGCCAACCTTGGGACTTAACAATGGACTTGAATTAATGGCCTGCCATGTGGTTTGGTAACATCGGGACTGTGCCATTTTATTTGTCGACCTTGGGCTTGTCAGCCTCAGCAGCCAATAGCTGCCTGAGTGAAGAGATGCCTCTAGCTTCAGTGGCCGGGAGCAAGAGGCAGAGCTGAAGCCCAAGGTCAAGGGGCTTCCACACAGCCCCTAGAGCCTGGCACTTTGAACTCAGACTTCTAGCCTCCCGAACTGCAGGAGAATAAACTCCTGTTTGTTCAAGCATCCCATGTGTGGTATATTCCTGTCAGAGTGGCACTAGGGAACCAGAACAGGTCCATTCCCTGGAGGGTATCATGCTTGGTAAAGCGGATGGCAAGTAGAAAAGGAGAAGGGCCTCAACCAGATGGACTGACACAGTGCCTACGACAGACGGTCAGCCCAGACACAGCAAGGACTGGGAGGCAGGCGCGGGAGCGGGCAGTGTTTCATTCTGTTGTACGTGGGGTCACTACGAGCCAGAGCTGACCCGATGGCACCCAACAGCGTGAATGACAACACTTACGTGAAGTACCCAGAACAGGCAAATGCCTAGAGACCAGAGCGGACTCGTGGTTACTCTGGTGGTGTAGTGCCTAAGGCACTTGACTGCTGACCAGAAGACTGGCGGTTCAAACCCACCAGCCACTCCTCAGAAGGAAGGCTGGGCAATCTACTACCGTAGTGATTCCACCTCGGAAACTCAAGGACGGGTCACCAGGAGTCGGGTCTGATTCGGCGGCACATAACAACAGGGGTTGGGAAGAGACAGGAGGACTCAATGCCTCAGGGACACCAAGTGTCCAAACAAGGGTGATAGCTGCCCAATGCATATGTTGTTTGATTTCCTGATGGCTGCTTCCATTGGCGTTGACTGTGGACCCAAGTAAAATGAAATCCTTGACAACGTCCATCTTTTCTCATTTATCATGATATTGCTTACGGTCCAGTTGTGAGGATTTTCGTTTTCTTTAGGTTGAGGTGTAATCCATGCTGAAAACTCTGGTCTGTGGTCTTCATCAGTAAGTGCTTCACATCACCCTCACTTTCAGCAAGGAAGGTTGTGTCGTCTGCGTATCACAGGCATCGACCCTAATGCCGCATTATTCATCATATAGTCCAGCTTCTCAGATTATTTGCTCAGCTTTCAGTTGAATAAGTATGGTGAAAGGATACAACAATGGCACACATCTTCCCTGATTTTAAACCATGCAGTGTCCCCGTGTTCTGCTCAGACAACTGCCTCTTGGTCTATGGACAGGTTCCTCATGAGCACAATGAAGTGTTCAGGAATTTGCAATCCGTGCAAGGTGACCCATAATTTGTCATGATCCTTAGCACAGTCAGCAAAACACAGGTAGAAACCTTTGTGGTATTCTCTGCCGTCAGCCAAGACCCATCTGAAAAGGCCTATCCCTGAGAACCCTATGGAGCAGTTCAACTCTGCATACATGGGTCACCAGAAGTCAGAATTGGCTCTGACAGGTGACGAGAAGAGTCTGTAGCCAATGAGAAAGGAGGTGGGTGGGCCTATCACTGACGAGGAGAGATTTTAGTGGACTCCTTCCTGGATGACAGACAAAATGGGGTGGGGGCCGCCAGCGAAGTAGGCCAAACAAGAACCCTTGGCCACGTCAAAGGCTGACAGCTCTTCTCCAGGGAAATCAGCCAGCCTTCTGGTGTCTAGAAAGGCTTTTAGTAGGGAGGCAGCACCTCCAGAGAGCTCCTTCCTGTCAGCCACCATCTAACCACTTAAACCAAAGAGAACTGTGCCAGTTGACACACGTACTACCTCTTCTCACCTGGAAGCCAGACTGACTCTCACCCCAGCTGGGAACCTGGTGCCATGGTCCTTCGGGTCCATGTAAGCCAAGGACCACCAGGCACAAGAGGAGGACAAAGAGCATGAAAGTGAAAACAGACACCCTGCTCCGAGAAGAAACAGAAGAGACACCGCTGACTAGGAACTGGTGTATGTGCGAGGGCTGCCCTCCACTACGGAAATGAGCCTCAGAAGGGAAGCCAGCCACAATGCAGCCTCATTCAGCAACACCATGAGCTACCAAGACACAGAAAGACAAGGGGAACTTTTAAATGCACATTGCTGAGTGAAAGAAGCCAGTCCAAAAATGGCTACACATCGTGTGATTCCAATGCTATGACATTCTGGGAAAGGCTAAACTATAAAGCAACTCACAGCGCCCCTAGAAGACAGAGGGGAACTGCCCCACAGGGTCTCCAAGGCTGTCAATCTTCACAGAAGCAAAGCCCTAACCACACCCACTGCCTGGAGTCCATTCTGACCCACAGCACCCCTAGAGGACAGAGTACTGCCCCATAGAGTTTCCTAGGCTGTATTTTTTCTTTCTTTGGTCTACTTTTTATTGTGATTTGGGTGCAATTTTACAAAGCAGAGTTGTTTTACAGTCAACGGTTCTTACACATTTTGCTTTGTGACACTGATTACAGTCCTCACAGTGTAACAGCTCTCCTCCCACCTTCTCCCTGCAGTCATCTTTCTCCTGTGTCCCCCCGGCCTCCCTAGCTGTCTCCCCACACAAGTGCTGCCCTTCGGCTCTCCTGTGGTTGACTGTTCTTTTATTTTAAGTGTATTTTATTGAAATATAATTTATGTACAGTGAAATACACAAAACTAAAGTGACATGAGTCAATGCATTTTTTTTTTTTTTTTGCAGTATTCCCTCCCCTCCATTCCCACCCCTGGTGACCAACAAAGGAAGTTTCCTTCCATATATAAACCTTTCTTTGACTTTTTACAATAATGAACTAATACTGTATTTGTCCTTCTGTGATAGTATTTCACTTAGCATAATGTCCTCCAAGTTCACTTGTGGTTGACTGTTCTAAGGAGTGCGTCTCCCTGGTGTAGGTGTTCAGCTCACAGGCCTGTCTATTGTTAGGCTCAGAGTTAAGCCATAGGAGTGACTTCAACTTCAGGCCCAGAGAGGGACTCAGGGCCACAATCTCTATCAGACCAGTAACCCTGTTTTTTTTTTTTTTTTTTACTGATTTAGAGTTTTCTTCCACATTTTTCTCCCACTCTACCCAGGATCTGCAATTTTGATCCCTGAGGCTCACGGGGAAGGGAGCGGGAGGAACAGGTGGAGCTAAGGGCATTCTTAGGGCAGGAAAGCTATTCACTGTGATACTGAGTTGGGGTGGGGATGAGGGTGGGGGGACACATGGCATTGTGCCTTCGTCAGAGTGAACCCTAATGTCACTTAGACTTTAGTTAAATGGTCATGGGTCAACAGTGGCTCATATGAATAGCACCTCATACCACCATAGCAAGCGGACCACAGGAATGAGAGATGTTAGTAATAGGGGAAGTGCCGTGTTGGGGAGGGGGTTCCACGGGAAATCTGTACTTTCTGCCAAATATTTCTGTAACAGTAACACTGCTCCAAAAATGAAGTCTATTATAAACAAAATTAAAGGGCAGGGGGTAGACCTGCAGCCTGGCTTCTATGCCAGGCCCTCCACTAGCTAGCTGTGACCCCCATCTCTCTGGACCTCAGTTTCCCCAGGGTACCCAGGGGCTAGAGCTCATACTGTGTTGAGGCTACTGGCGGCTCTCGGAGTCACCAGGTGGTTACAGGTGCATGAATGAAGGCAGGAGTACAACTGTTCCCTACGGGACAGAGGGACACCGTCCACCCTGCTGTCTGTGCAGCCGGGCCCTGGGTGAACGGCCTCCCACATATCGTCTCATTGAATCTCACGCCATGCCCAGGAGGAGGAGAGAAAGCGGCGTGAGGCTCTCACCTCTGGACCACGGCGATCGTGGCCACCACAGGCAGGGCACAGAGCCGCAGCAGGCAGGACAACATCCAGACCGGGAAAAAGTTGCAAAGCCTGCTCAGGTATCCCCCTCTGTCCTTGAGGGTTTCACACAGCACTGAAAAACAGAACCCGGGTGAGAAGGAGCTCCCCCAGGGTAAACCCACCCACGTCAGCCTGTGCCGCGGGGAACATCTCCGAAAGAAGGTGCAGAATCGGAGTGGCAATCATCCACGAGAGAGGCCGGGGCTGGACTCTGGGTGGCCGCTCCTCTCGCAGCAAAGGGGACACAGAGCTGACGTGTGCCCACAGCCCAGAGGAGCCCAGGTGGCCCCAGGGCACAGGGACTCCTCTTCTTTCCATGGAGTCACCTGCAAACTTCTCTCACAAATAAACCAAAACCAGTGGCCATGGAGTCAACTCCCTCTCACGGGCCCCCGCGTTAGAGGCTGAGCTCCACAGGGTTTCTGGGAGGGTTTTTCAGTAGATTGCTAGGCCTTTTCTTCTGAGGTGCCTCTGGGGAGACTTGAACCCCCAGTCTCCTGGTTGGCAGCCAAACACGCTCACTGCACCACCAGGGGCTCCTTGTCTCTGACTCCACTCAGTCACTCAGGCAAGTCTGTCTCTGACCACAGTACAGTCACCTCCACTCCCCCCCCGCCCCGTCCACAGTGCGGTCACCCCCACCTCTGTTC